CACTCAGGCACGTCCAAGACGGCCACCAAACTAACAGCGAGAGGACATCTTTCCATAACATTTGGATCTTTCTTCCTTTGCTCAGGGGAGGAAGGGTATTTCCACCTGGAGTCGGAGCAACAATGTAATGAGAATGTGTATACCCTGCTGCCCTCCACTGCTCCAGATAAACAGCCCTCTATTTATGGGGCCTGACTTTGTTCAAAAGCAACGAGGCATTCAAGGACTGGGCTGCCTGGGCACAAGTAACCCATTTTAAAATATATTACTATAAGCCAGTTACACTATTACATTACCAGCACGGTATTTATACCTACATAAATAATTAAGTTGGATCATCAAGCTTTATATTTAATTATATATTCACTGTTTATATTAAACTAATTTAACTGTCTCATTAAAAAGTGGTTTCTGTTACAGGTATCCCAAAAGGGAATTGTTCAGGGAAATCTACCAAGACTTTATCAAAGAAAGAATCTATTAATCTGTTATCTTAAAAGTACAACCCTCATCCACCAAAAAATAAAGGAAGAAGAAGGAGAAATTCTTGATACAGTACACAGCATACAGGAAACAAACATGCAATCTCTGCAGTGCCCTACCACCGGGATAGTTCAGCCTACTGTTTCAGGGTGTACAGGGTTTCATAATAAATGAATATGACACAAAAATGACAAAAATTCTAAGTCAACTATGATTCTGGAAAGGTCAGTAAGAACTCTATCCTATCCCAAAAGTGTTTGTCTCAGATCATCTCTAATGAACCTAGAAGAACAACCATATTTCACAGGGGCTAAATAAAACTTTTTAAAAGGTTAACAGAAAAATATTTATGTGAAAAATGGCTCCAAATAATCTTTTAGTGGGTGGATTTGGCACATACCAAGGAATACCTTTAAGCTTAGTCCAATTTTGAATTAAGCTAGAGTTCACCTTTAAGAAACAATGAATCTGTTTTTAAGTAAAACCCTGTATTAATAAGAAACATGGAATGTGAATACAAAAAATAAAAGACATTATCAATTGAATTGTATCTTAATATTTTAGTTTTTCCATGAGTCATCAGTAGATCTTTAAAATGCATGATTTTTTAAAAAACTTGACAGTCATTCATCTGTAAAAATCCCGCTTTTTATGTATATGCCAAGCATAAAATTGCCCCATGCTAAATTTAACATAAATCTCACATTACAGAATTAGGTGTTCTTGTACTTCAACATGACTGCGACAGTGAATCAAAGCATAAAAACACACTTAGATAAGATACCTTCTGCTGCATTCAGCACAATGAAGAAAGCCTGAAAAGCACGTAAAAATTAGGTCCATATTTTAAATCTGCAGGCAATCAAGCCAGGAAAATAAATTGAAGAGCCAAGCTAGATAATCACAATCACTTGCATACCATTTAAACTATTTTTTAGTTGTAATTGTTAGCAGTTTCTTATGACTGTAATCTTTAAAATAATATCTTCCATTTCAAAAATTAGACACACATGTACATTAACTTTTTTGTCTACTTATAATCAGGTGCTAGCTATGGCACGTTAAAATTCCCCTTTCCAATTCGGCATTCTCTTCTTTTAATTTTAGTACATTATAGTTTCAAGTTAACGTCATATTATTTATCCAAACAACAGATGGTTTAAAACTTTGATCTTTGTAACTACAATTTGTGAAGTAATGTAGAGTTTAACAAAGAAGTAAGTCTATCACAATGTGGAGAGTCATTTTATGATGGCTGTCATGGATTGAATTATGTCCCCCCCAAAAATGTGTGTTATCAATATGGCTGGGCCATGATTCCCAGTATTGTGTGGTTGTCCTCCATTTTGTGATTGTAATTTTCTGTTAAAGAGGATTAGGGTGGGATTGTTAACACCCTTACTAAGGTCCATCCCTAATCCAATGTAAAGGGAGGTTCCCTGCGGTGTGGCCTGCACCACCTTTTATCTTACAAAAGATAAAAGGAAAGGGAAGTAAGCAGAGAGAGGGGGGACCTCATACCACACCACCAAGGAAGCAGTGCCGGGAGCACAGTGTGTCCTTTGGACCCAGAGTCCCGGCACGGAGAAGCTCCTAGTCCAGGGGAAGACTGATGAGAAGGCCGACAGAGAGAGAAAGCCTTCCCCTGGAGCTGACGCCCTGAATTTGGACTTTGAGCCTACTTTACTAGTGAAGAAATAAATTTCTCTTTGTTAAAGCCATCCGCTTGTGTTATTTCTGTTACAGCTGCGCTAGATGACTAAGACAATGGCATTCTGTCTTACAAAGTAATATGTTACCTTCTCAGATGTTATTCAAGGATGGTTAATCATTTTACAAATGCTACACAATCAAAGATTCTCAGTATTATATATTGGTATACATAGCTCTAACAGAGTATATTTAATAATACGATGTAAAATGAGTCGTTCAAGGTCAGAGAGTATGTCAGAAAGGCAGCCTCGGAGACTGCACTGACAAACTCAAATTCCTGTCTTCCCCCACATATGCCATCCTGAGAGATCGCTGCTCTAACCTTTGCCTGCAAAATGTTAACACAGGTATCTTTCACGGGACAAAAATTGCCTAGAGCAGAATTTCAAACATAAGGGACTGATTAAGTAGAAGAGAACTTAATCTAAATGCTACCATAATATATAAATTTAATCTTCAGGCAATAGATTCATCACCTGAGTGATCAATTTCTAAGCAGAGATTGATTTTTTCCTAATGTATTTAAATGGCTAAGACCTGGCTCTAGGGGACTCTGAAACCTCACCAAAAAGAACTAGTCCTTTGGGAGCGAACTAGCTTTTTGGAGCTAGTCTGCCCCCATCCTCTGTGGTAACCCAAGGTAAGGATCACTCAGTGTTCATGTGGAAGAACGCGTGTATCAGCCTTCTCACTCCCTCACAGTTAAGAAGAGGTGAGGGATCATCCTTCCTTCAATTTCTCAATTTGAACCCACTGTAGACAAGAGCAATATCCAAAGCTTCAGCAGTGTGATTAAGTTTTCACTGGCTTCAAATAATTTCATCACTTCCAACTTGACCTTTAAAGCAAACGTTTTTATGCATTCTTACACATTTCTGATCACTTGTACTCACTGATCTCTTTATGATATCCCTTCCCATGCTTGCAAAGTAATTCTAAAATCCCTTAGAAAGTTAAAAAAAAAAGTCAACGAACAGAGAAATATCACTGTTCAATGACGAAGCTTGCAGTTTATCTATAACGTGCCTTCATGTTAAAACTGTCAAGCTAATAACTATCTGATTTCCATATTTAAGTATGTTTATACTCTTTGAAAAAAAAGTCTAGTGCCAAAATGTGACAACTCAAAAATAAATTATATTCTTTAGTCACCATGCATATACAAAAAACATCTGATAGAAAAAAAGTACAAGAATGAGATTTTTGGCAAACCTACGCAGAATTATATCATTTTTATAAAAGAAAGGAGGGAGGAGGCAGGGAAGGAAATCAACATTTGTTATGTGCTTACTAGGAAGCAGGTACTATGCTAATTACGTAAAACTACAATCAATTTAATGTTTTGTACGTAATTACCAAATAATTATAAACCTATGCATTCCGATATCAAAGCTAACACAAACTCTCTGAGAATACTGAACTGATTCCATTTTCTACCTTGGGCTATGTGTGCTAACCTCATCTCCCTCTCTCTCTCTATATGTGTGTGCATGTGTGTGTGTGTATCGCAGGGCTCAGAGTCAGATTAATTTAAATTCCCAGAAACTAACTCAAGAATACCATGACCCCACTGAAATATTCTTTTCAAGGGGCTAGTTTGGATCCAAGAACTCAGTGCTGATGAGCACGCTTTAATAAGAGTTTGTTACTAATTTCATTATTTGTCAAGAGATAAGCTGCTAATATCAAAGAATAAAGATTCTTCATTATGACCATTTACACATTTAAACTTATTCAGCCTTCAAGGGGTGTAAAAAACAAGAGGGTTAAAAACGAGATTGGCTGGTTCTTAACTGGCTGGATATTTTGTTTCACTGATTTATAGCAAAATGGTCACCAGTGAAAAGAGATGTCTTTCTTTTGAGGAAGAGGGATAAAGAAAAATGTCTATGCTTCCAATACAAAACATCTGCTCACATATATTTGAAAACAGAAATAAACTTAAGTGGATTTTTAACTGACTGATAATACAGGTAGCCCCCAATTTACGATGTATTCAAGTTATGACGAACCGCACTTAATGACCGTCTTTTCTTTTTTTTTGTACAACTTATCATTAGTAATATGTACTACATACAGTGTTAAAATATACTTGTAAGATTATATGTCATGTTTCCAACCCCTAAAGACAAACAAAAATACTGATAATAAAGGCAATAATAATGAAAACTAAAAAAAAAAAAAATGAGGTACTGGACTTACTTCAGAACCGACTTAGAACAGACACGTAAGAACGGAACCCCACTGTAAGCTGGGGACTACCTCTACTATAACTGAAATGAAAATGTAATTTTATTCTTAGATTTCTGACATTTCACCTAGTGACTTTAATAAATTACTAAACATTCTAATGACTATGAAAAAATATACATGGCAATGTTAAATGAAAACAATAGATTATGATTTTAATTATGTAAAAATTTGCGTTGTACCTCAAAACACTTGGAACTATGAAAAGGGTTGATTTGAGACGGTAATAAGCTCACAGATAATTATTTTTTTCATTCTTTCGTACTGCAATGTTGTAGCAATAAAAACAACTTAAAAAAAGAATGGCACTACTATGCAGATTAAACGGCGCCCCATCTGCAATGGTTTGATTATGTTATGGATATGAATACAAGTGTCTTAGTTATCCATTTATTCTGTAAGCCCAGGAAAGCAGACATCACCAATTCTTTTTAGTCTACATAACACTTAGCATGGCATCTTGGTCCCAAATAGATTAATAACTTCCCATTGATGGTCTAGTCATTGAACCACTGATGAACACCAAGTGTAGACAGCATAAAGGGGAAACTTACTGTTACTTGTTGGTTCAGGAAACCCGGCCTTTGGACCACTCCATCCTTTGTTTTCCCCTGTCTGAAAGATTAAATCAATTGTTTAAATCCAGGGACACAGGCTTATTCAAAAAGAAAAAAAGTTGACTAATCAATTAAGCAAGGGCAGAGGGGTCTCACATAGTCATTCTGCTTATTCTATCCATCTCTGACCCCAAGGACAATGGATAGAAGCATAATTAAAGTGTCATCTATCCCTTCTGTACAAGTTGAAACTATTTCCTATTGTCTCTTTTTTTAATCTGCTCATTTAAATTCATAATTTAATGCATTAAGAAAGCCTCATATTCAATGTATGTATTATGTAGAACATAGGCTCTATCTAGGTAGTTAAAAATAATTCTTTTTCAAATAGTAAGCAATAATTCTCATCATAACTGCTAAAGTGACAAGAAGAGCTTCTTTATCACTCTTGAGGTTAGATTAACAATAAAAACACTACTATATCCATATTGAAGAGGCAAAGCCAACCTGGCAGGCTAGACACACACACCATGCCATCCCTCTGTAGCAATGACCCAATAAACTAAGTAAAACAGACACAAACCTGGAACCCTAAGCATCAAATGAAGGGATAAAGAACTAGATCAAACACTGAAGGGAAGAAGAAATTGACAGAAAACAGAAATGAAGAAAGACACAGAGCGGAGGTCCCCTGCCAACTAACATGACACAGCATCGCCATCTTGAAGTACAGCCAGCAACGACCCCAGACAGGGAGTGTGGGAAGGCACCATCACCGAACTCTGAACAGAAGACAGAGCACCCAGTAACCAGAGAAACACATTTTCCCACCCCTCATCCTTCTGGTGAGCAGAAGCAAGAACCCTCCCATCCTAGCAAACGACACCGCCAGGGATCACAATATGAACCCACTACCCCCAGTCTGCCCTGCTCCCTCCAGCCACGTGGCTTTTTTTTTTCCCCTCTTTTTTCCTTTTCTTTCTCCCTTTCACTTAGCCTCATATACCACCTCCCCCTCTTCCTGCCAGCCCTTGTCACACTGCTGCAGCTAGAGAGCCACGGCACACTGCAGCCCTGGGTCCTCCAGCCCCTGCCTGCAGCCTCCCACTGCACTGCCATTTATTTATTTTTTGCTTTTTTTCCTTTCTCTTCTTATTTTTCTTTCCCCCTCCCATCTAGCCCTGTACATCACCTCCCTCCCTTCCTACCAGACCTTGTGTCCACCCTGCCCCCCACGTGCCAGCTCCTGCCGTGCCACTGTTGTTTCTTTCTTTCTTTGCTTTCACTCTCCCACCTAGACCCATAAGCCACTTCCCCTCTCTTCCCATGGGCCTTCCTGGGTTTGCCCCAACCCCACTCGCTGGCCCCCATCGCACCATTTTTTCTCATTTTTCTTTTCTTTTTTTTCTCCCTCCTATCTAGCCTTGTATGCCACCTCCCCCTTTCCACCAGCACCCGCCACACCGCTGCATATAGAGTGCCACCAGCACACTGGCCTGCCACTGCCCTGCATCCACCCTGCACCCACACACTGGTCCCCACCGTGCCACCATTTTTTTCTTTTTCTTTCTTCTCTTTCTATCCCACCTAGCCATGTATGCCACCTTCCCGCTCTTTCTGCTGGCCCCTAGGTCTGGCCCACCCCTACCCCCACCTGCTGGCCACCTATTTTTTCTTTCTTTCTCTTTTCTTTTTCCCTCCCACCTAGCCCTGTACACCACCTCCCCCCACTTCCCGCTGGCCTCCACCGCACCACCACGGCTAGAGCGTCCCCAGCACTCAGGCCAGCTGCTGCACTGGGCCCACACCACTCCTCCCTCCTGCCACTTGAACAGCTGCTGAACAGTGGGAAGTGAGCCCGTTGCACTCCTCACCCATCTGGCGAGGGGCTGTGAATGCTCCCACATTGCTGGACCAACATCAGGAGGCAGACACCACTTGCCCAGGCTGCCCTCAGCCACCTTACCAAACCAGTGTACAGCAAAGTGGGCTCATCTTGCCTGCTGCTGTCCTGCCCACTTGGACAAGGTGGTGAGAGCACTGTGCCCACAGATGAGCAAGCAGCAAAGCACACCTGACCCACTTGCTCTGACATATCAAAACAAAACAAAAAAGAAGGATGAAAACAAACAAACATACAATCAATACATAAAATAATACCTTAATGTCTCAGAGACAGCAGACAATAATAAAACATATAAAGAGGCAGGACAAGATAGCAAGTGACTATCTAAAGAAGGAATCAAACAACCTTCCGGAAGAAGAAAAGGTAGTGGAACTACCTGATGTGGAATTCAAAAGACTAATATTTAGGGCTCTCCAAGAGATTAGAAAAAAGATCAAGGAACACACAGACAAAACCAGGGAAAAATAGCCAAAATCATGGGAAACACAGATGAAAACACAGCCAGAATCAAGGAAAACACAGAGAAAGCAATAGACAAATTCAGGAAATAATACAAGAACAAAGCATCAAAATAAATAATTATAAATCATACAAAAACAACAACTAGAAATCCAAAAGATAAACCACAAAATTTCAGAAATAGACAACTCAATAGAAGGCTTTAGGAGTAAATCTGAAACACGGGAACACAGAATCAGAGAGACTGAAGACATATCCATGGATGCTACTTTGAAGAAAAATCAGAAAAAGGATGAAGAAAATCTAAGAATTATGTGGGACATAATCAAAAGCAAAAATTTGCACGTGGTAAGAGTTTCAGAACAGAGGGAGAAAATGGAAAACACAGAGAAGATTGTTAAAGATTTGCTGGCAGAAAACTTCCCAAATATCATGAAAGACGAAAATCTGACCATTCGAGAAGCTCAATGAACCCCACATATGACAGACCCCAAAAGAAAGTCACCAAGACATATCATAATCACACTTGCCAAAACCAAAGACAAAGAAAGAATCCTGAGAGGAGCACAAGAAAAACAAAAAGTCACTTACAGAGGGGAAACAATAAGACCAAACTGATTATTCAGCAGAAACTATGCAAGAAAGAAGGCAATGGGATGACATATATAAAATCCTGAAAGAAAAAAACTGCCAACCAAGAATAATATATCCTGCAAACGTCTCTCTCAAATATGATGGTGAAATTTGGATATTTCCAGATAAACAGAAATTAAGGGAATTTGTGAAAACCAAACCAAACTTACAAGAAATATTAAACAGAGTCCTTCGGCTAGAGAACAGACAACAACTGGAATCTAGGACACAGGACAGCATCAGCAAGATACTAACCTAAGCAAAGAACTCTCAATAACAAAACAAAGCTAAAAGACTTAAACAGGGAAACAGAGGCATCAATCTGTAAATGATGACAACGTCAAAATAATAAAAGGGGGAATAAATGGTGTAGATATAGAACTTTCAAATGGAGAGGAAGTCAAAGTGACATCAAGTAATAAAAGACTCATTCAAACTTAGGAAAATAAGGGTAATTTTCAAGGCAACCACAAAGAAAGTTAAAAAACCTACTCATCAGAATAAAAAAGAAGAAGGGTAAGACAGTACACAATACTGGGGAAGCCAGCAAAACTTGTACAAGGAAAGGTCATGGAAGCCCCATAGACATATCCAAACTCCCCGAGGGACTGAATTGCTAGGCGGAGGGCTGTGGGGACCATGGTCTCGGGAAACATCTAGCTCAACTGGCATAACACAGTTTATAGAGACAATGTTCTGCATTCTACTTTGGTGAGCAGTGTCTGGGGTCTTAAAAGCCTGTGGGCGGCCATCTAAGATACTCCACTGGTCTCATCCCTTCGGGAGCAAGAGAGAATGAAGAGAACAGGATACAAGGAAAGGATCAGTCCAAAGGACTAATGGACCATAGCTACCAAGGCCCCCACCAGACTGAGTCCAGCATAGCTAGATGGTGCCCGGCTATCACTACTGACAAAAGTTCTAACCTTAAGTAAAACATGTGATATACTGACTTTTGCCAGATGATTTCATTTGTGTTTGGCATAAATACATTCTGAAACAAATAATTTTTTAAAAATTTTATTGTGGTAAAACATAGAAAACATAAAATTTGCCATTTTAACCATTTTTAAGTGTATAATTCAGGGACATTATTACATACACAATGTTGAACAACCATCACCACCATCTATTTCCACAACTTGTTTATCAACCCAAACAGAAACTCAGAACCCCTTACACAATGCCTGCCCCTTCTTCCCTTCCCCTGGCCTCTGGTAACCCCCAATCTACTTTCTGGATCTATGAGCTTGCCTAGTCAAGATATTTTTTATTAAGTGGAATCATACATTTGTCCTTTTGTGTCTAGCTTACTTTACTCGCATAATTTTTTCAAGTTTCATCCATGTTGTAGCATGTGTTAGAACTTCACTCTTTTTACGTCTAATATCTCATTGTATGTACTTACCACATTTTTTTTTAAATCCATTCATCTGTTGATAAACACTTGGTTCGCTGAAACACATATTTTGAAGTAGTATTATAATAAAAATAATAAGTGACTTTAACTGGTTATGTTCTCTTTTTAGAGCTGGTATTATTGATATGAAGTACTCCAGGAATTAAAAAAAAAAATCCTATTATAATTAGCATTTTATATTTATGTTAACAGATGTCAAAGGTCAAATGCATAAATTAAATCCAGACATGAACAAAAATACTATTTTAGCAAATAATTTACCAGGGTTCATTTTTTAAAAAACATTGTTCTTACTGAATTTTCTCTTTCCTTTTCATTACACTTTATTAAAGTGAACAAGGAAAGATACAGTGGCAGATAATAGAAGCAAAAAAGAAAATAAGTAGTCCAGAGGAACAAACGGACAGTATGTCAGAAACAACCACCAGCTTCATATTTTAAATTACAGCCAGAGGAAAAGCAGACAGCAGGCTTCTCACCAAAAAAAAGACTATGCACATCGTAAGACAATGGAACCGGATCTTCCAACCACTGAAAGAAACAGAAAATCCAGATTCTATACCTTGACAAAATAACATTATATAAATGAAGGCAAAAATAAAGACTTTTTCAACAAACAATTGCTGAGAGAATTCAAGAG